GACCAGTCCTGTGAGATGGAGAACTGGTAGGTTGGCTTAGCCTCTCCTGGACTTGTTTCCTGTCCTGCAGAGACGGGGCTCTCTAGTTGTCCCTCCCTCGTAGAGGTCCTGTGGGGTGTAAATGACACACATGGGCAGCCTGAGCAAAGCTGCTCATTCCTCGTAAGTGCAGGATAGCATAGCTTTTGCGGTGACGGCTTTATGACCACCCCGTGTAGACTCTCAGTGCTCCAAAGGGATGCCTTGTGGTTTGGAGATGGGATTCTCACTTCTGTAAGTACCCAAGGATTGTGTTATGGGGCCCTGCTGATTTGAATCTATTCTTTAGAAAGTACATATTGTAGATATATTTTTCAAGCATGTGTGCTTTTTTTCTTTTATTATTTATAGTTCTACCCTCTCATCTCTTGGTGTGACTTTTCATGGAATCCAGTAAACAGTCCTAAGCCACCTGCCTCTTCACACTACTCCGTGGTGGTTTTCTTCCCTGACTAGATGACGGTTTTGCATAGGAAATTTTCTTTGTTCCCCTTTTCTTGGAGTATCTCTGTCTGTCTGCCCATCTCTCACCTGTCCATCTGTCCATTTATCTACCCACTCATTCTTCTGACATGTTCCAGAAAGCATTTCAGGCAGCTTACAGAAGAACAGATACCAAATAAACAGGTGAGAAAATGGGGCCAAGTTCAGACAGTGAGGCTAGGAGGCGAGACTATGTGAGGGTTGCAGGCGTGAGATACACGCCTCTGTCCTGTGACTTATAAGATCGAAAGCAACACTGTGCCTAAGGCTGCCAGCAGACACAGGGAAAAAGGGTTTGTGGGAGATGCTCACTGGCTGTGAAATAAATAAGTGGCTGAGGAGAAGCCCAGCCTTTCCAGCTACCAAGGCTTAGGAGAATATTTTGAGTGTCTTCCAAAATCAGAATATTGCATCTTTTCTTTTCTCAGAATTCAAAGTATAGTTGGTTACATTCTATACATGGAAATTTCTCTAAAACTGCTTCCCACGTGAGTCCCATGGCTCGAGAATGGGGTGGTTTTGTTCATTGACGGGGGTTGGCCAGAAACAGAAAATGACAGCCTCCAAGGAGCCTGGGATTTGTCAGTTATGTTTTGTCAGTACTGTAGAGTTCAAAAAATTCTTTCACAGTTTCTCCCCCTCTCAGGTGGCAGCGTGCTCTCTTACCAGTATCAGGAGCTCAGTGCCACGGGATGGTGGGGGCTCACTGCATTGCCTTGAAGACAGCTGAGCTAGTCACTGCAGATGTGGTGCTTTTACATACGGCATTTCATGATCTTTACTAGAAGGTTTCAACAGGGAGTTTATTAACTGAGTTAATAAGCATTTAATAAATATGATGCTTTTTCAAAAGACAGTTATAGGCAGAATATAAGCTGTGAAGCCTTTAAAAACGGTTTCATTACTGAAATTTCAGTAGGGAAGATACACAGCTTATCTTATTTATGCCTTTCTTTTGAAGTAACAAAGAAACAAGACAGAAAAGGCAGAGGATGATTTCTGTTCTTCCTCTAGGCTTGCAGGTGCCCTCACCTCCAGTGGCATCCATCCAGACAACAGCACTGACACTGACCGTGCTCAGAACTGCCTCAGCCCTGAAGACACAACTGAGAAATAGAAGGGGGCCGTGCCCTGTTACAGCAGGTGCTCTCACTTTGTGGGTCCTTATGTAGCTGCGCGGTGTTAATCAGGATCGCCCGTTCTACATTGTGTGGCGCTGCTGCGGTGACTCCTAGTTACTTGTTTCTGTAAGTACTCGTGTATTTTCTCCAATGTGTGGTGCTACACACCTAAAAATGCTTTTTTCAGATGAAAAATAATGTGCATTTAATATAATAAGTCTGAAAAAAGGGGTAAAAGAGGCTATCTTGACCCTGCTACTCAGAGAGAATAATTAAAACTTTAAAATCTTTTTTCTGTTCTTTTCGTCAGTGTGTATCACCTCTGTCATAAAACACATGTGTGGAGACCTCCATTTTCCATTCGGCTAATTACATGTTTTTCTACAATATTTAATCTCCCGTGGCATGATTTTTAATGACCAGTATAGCATTCTGTCTTATGGAGGCATCGTCCATTTTTCTTCGGACTTAAATAAACTTTTAAATTCCAAGTGTACTTAACTGAAATACTGAAAAGAGAACTGCGGTGGTAGAGAAGAGTGGTATCAAGTGAAAAATGAAAGGACCCTAGCTCTCCTCCACTTATTTTCTGACAGTAAAAGCTGTTGACAATGTGGTGTATGTATTTCATGAACTTTGTGCCTACGACATACGTATACATACACATATATGAGAAATCTATGCATAAGTATGTGTATATATGCTTTATTGAAAAATGAGACCATATTATACGTTTTTCTGCAGCTCGCTTTATTCACTCAGGGGTATATCATAGACGTCCTCCCACTGCAGACTCACCCGGTCCTTTCAGATAGAGTGGAGGGGTCTCCAGATGTGCAGGTGTGGTCTCTTGTGCAAGGATACCTTTGGTGGGAGAGTGCTGTGGACAAGGCCCTGGACCATAGCGAAACGCCGGCTCCCTCAGCGCCCGCAGCTCGCCGAGATTTACCGCATCATTGTGTTGATGGTGGACACAGGTTTTCTCCATTTTCCACTGTCAGAAAGTATGTTTGACTGACATCGTTCTTGTATAGACATTCCTGTGATCTTGTATGAGTATTCCCTTAGATAAGGCTTCTGGGAATTTACTCCCTGGATGTGACGTTTACACTCATCACAGGTTCCTTCCAAGTGACTCTAGAAATTCCTTCTCCAGTGGGGAATGAAAAGATGTAGAATTGCTTATGTAACCAATTCTCTATCGCTGGATATGATTTCACTTCAGCTTTTCTTCCCACCATTGTAAACAGTGCTGTGTAAATGCCCTGATAGGTACATGTTTTTGGACTGATTTTAGTTTTTTTTCCCTAAAGGAAACGATTCCTAGAATTGGAGTTGAGTCATTGTGTATGTACCTTTTTCAGAGTTTACATATTCATTGACATGTCGCCCTCCAAAAATGTCGCTCACAGTTTGTTCTCCCACAGATGGACACCAGCTTGTATATCTTTTGCATATTTGCCAATATGATGAGCAAAAGTGTTTTTTCATTGTTTTAGTTTGCATCTGATGACCAGTGAGGTATTGAGAATTTTTCACTCATTAGCCATTTGACTTTTTTTAAAATGGATGATCCCTTTTGTCCTTTGCACACATTTAAGTGAGGGAGCTTCTGGTTGCTTTGTGACAGCTCGTTGTATGTTATGAACATTAACCCCTTGTCTTCATCAACATGTATCACAGAGCTTTCTCTTGACATTGCTTGCCTTTCACTTTGTTCAGGTAGGTTTTTTTTTGTTGTTGTTGTGGCCCAAAATATTCTTGAGATAGTAAATGTCTTCCTTATGGTTTATCTTGGTATTATTCTTAGAAATTACTTTTCTTAACTAATGAATTAAATCTCTTCCGTTAGGTTTTTTTCATTCTCTAAGATTGGAGATGATAATGGTACTTGTTATACTGAGGGTACGTTGAGTT